CCCCTACCCCCCAACCCCGCTGAAAAAAAGAAAAAAAGCTGGTTGGCTTTTACAAGATTAAGGGGTAGGGTTGGGAGTGGAAGTAAGAAAACTAGAGAAATAAAATGATAGCTTGCAGGTTTGCCACCAGAGATGCAATATTTTAAATACTTTGAGAAAGAGTGACTTTTAAATATACATATTTCAGATTTTCAGCACTAACATTGCATATTTGCAGTTCATTTAGTAAATTGGCAATTGATATTTTATTGAATGGGGAATTAATAATATAAACTGTAAATTTTGTCTTAAATTGATTTTTTTTTTGGCCTTTATTTTTATAACTTAAGGTATGAGTTATATTTTAGAAGCTACTTTCTAGTTTGGAAGTTTGGGTGCTATATGAAGAAAAACGTTTAAGGATGTATCATACTTCAGATATAAACACCTTGTTTTTTTGAATGTAATTTATTTATTAATTAAAAAAATACTTTTTTGCTCTCAAGATGGTGCCTGTTAACCTAAACATAAAATATATTTATTACATGCAAAATATTTCTTAGATAGCCACTTTGAAGCAGTAATGTTCTTTCTGAATGGATGTTCATTTATACATCCTGAAAATTATTTAAATTGTTACTTAACCTCACTCTGGAGGAAAAAAAAATAAACCTTAATATTGAAACTAATAGATTAAATAGTTTGGTATAAGCTTTTTGTTCTAGTGAAGTTTTGTGAACTGTATTTAAATTATTTTCTAGTGTTAAATGATAATTGTTTATAGTTGACTTGTTTTATATAAATGCTTTTGCATTTTTGTATATCGATTTAATGCTTAACATATTCAAACTTGATAATGACTTCCCTTATTTTAAGTCGACTGTGGCCTCCCCGCACCCCCCCATCTGTTTGGAAGTCCTAAAGCCTTATTAGGGAATGTAGGCAGCAGTTAGACTTAGCCCTTACTTAAGAGAACTTTCCTTTCAATTTCAACAACAGCATTGTCAGCTTCAGAGTGCATCTCCCATTACCTCCCAGAAGAGGTTTACCTTTTTTTCTACTTTATTTAAATGGTAGCCAGCAGAGGGAGCTTAAGAGGTTCTCTAGGTAGGATGTAGGATTTTCCTAAGAATTCCTTTTCCCTCAATCCCCATATTTACCTGCAAGTACTACTACAATCATCTTGTATGCATTTTAAAGCCCTAGTAATAAAGTTCATTCCCAGAAATGTTAATGTGGTTTTATCTATGAAATATAAGAAAATTTTAAATTTTGAGAAAAAAACTTAGATTAATATCTAAAAATGCTTGTGAACTTAATACAGGCAAACCTCCAAAATATTGTGGGTTCAGATCCAGACCCCTGCAATAAAGCAAATATTGCAATAAAGCAAGTCACATGAATTTTTTGGTTTCCCAGTGCATATAAATGTTATGTTTATACTGTAGTTTTTTCAGTGTGCAATAGCAATATGTCTTTAAAAAATGTATATACCTTAATTTAAAAATACTTGATTGCTAAAAACTGCTACCCATCATCTGAGCCTTCAGCGAGTCATAATCTTTGCTGGTGGAGGGTCTTACATTAATGTTGATGCTGCTGACTGATCAGGGTGAAAGCTGGGGTGGCCATGGCAATTTCTAAAAATAAGACAACAATGAAGTCTGCCTCAGCGACTGGCTCTTGCTTTCATATATGATTTCTCGGTAGCATGTGCTGCTCTTTGATACCATTTTACCCATAGTAGGACTTCTTTCAAAATTGGAGTCAGTCCTCTTAAACCCTGCCCTGCTTTATCAACTGAGTTTATGTAATATTCTGAATCCTGTGTTGTGATTTCAACAATCTTCACGGCATCTTCACTAGGGGTAGAGGCCATCTCAAGAAACCACTTTCTTTACTCATTCATATAAAGCATCTGTTAAAGTTAGATCATGACACTGCAGCAATTTAGTCAGATCTTTAGCCTCCATTTCTGATTCCAGTTCTCTTGCTAGTTCCACCGCATCTTTGGTTACTTCCTCCACTGAAGTCTTGAACCCCTCAAGGTCATCCATGAGGGTTGGAATCAACTTCTTCCAAACTCCTGTGTATGTTGATATTTTGGCCTCTTTCCATGAATCACAAATGTTCTTAATGGCTTCTAGAATGGTGAATCCTTTCTAGAAGGTTTTCAATTTACCCAGATCCATTAGAGGAATCACCTGTCTATGGCAGCTATAGCCTTATGAAATGTATTTCTTAAATAATAAGGCTTGAAAGTTGAAATTACTCCTTTATCCATGGCCTGCAGAATGGATGTTATGTTAGCAGGCACAAAAACAATATTAATCTTGCTTGTACATCGCCAGAGCTCTTGGGTGACCAAGGTGCATTGTCAATGAACATTAATATTTTGAAAGGAATCTTATTCTGAGGAGTAGTTCTCAAGAGTGGGCTCTAAATAGTAAACCATGTTGTAAACAGATGTGCTGTCATCCAGGCTTTGTTTTTCCATTTATAGAGCACAGGCAGAGTAAATTTACCATAATTTTAAAGGGTCCTAAGGTTTTCAGAATGGTAAATGAGCATTGGCTTCAACTTAAAGTCACCTACTACATTAACTCCTAACAAGAGAGACTGTCCTTTGAACCTTTGATGGCAGGCATTGACTTCTCGGTAGCATGGAAGTCCTAGATGGCATCTTCCAATATAAGGCTGTTTTGTCTACATTGAAAATCTGTTGTTTAGTGTAGCCATCTTCATTAATTAGACCTTCTGGATAACCTGTTACAGCTTCTGCATCAGCACATGCTGCTTGCATTTTTATTTTATGGAGACAGCTTCTTTCCATAAACCTCATGAAACAACTTCTACCTTCAAACTTTCGTCTGGAGCTCCCTCACCTCTCAGCCTTCATAGAATTGAAGAGAGTTAGGGCCTTGCTCTGGATTATGTTTTGGCTAAGTGTTGTGGCTGGTTTGATCTTCTGTCCATATGGAAGATCTTCATATCAGCCTCCATAAGGCTGTTTCTCTTATCATTTATGTGTTCACTGGAGTAGCACTTTTAATTTCCTTCAAGAAGTTTTCCTTTGCATTCACAACTTGGCTAACTGGTGCAAGAGGCTTAGCTTTCAGCCTGTCTTGATTTTCGACATGCTTTCCTCACTGAGCTTAATCATTTCTAGCTTTTGATATAAAGTAAGAGACGTGACTTCCTTTCACTTGAACACTTAAGAGTCCATTTAGAGATATTAACTGACCTAATTTCAACATTGTTGTGTCCCAGTATAGGGAGGCCAGGGGAGAGGGAGGAAGACACGGAATGTCTGGTGGTGGAGCGGTCAGAATACACATATTTATTAAGGTCGTTATGTTGGCACAGTTCATGGCACCCCAAAATAATGATAATAGTAACAGCAAAGTTCACTGATTGCAGTTCACCATAACAAATATAAAAATAATGGGAAAGTTCAAAATATTGTGAGAATTACCAGAAATGACACAGAGACACAAAGTGAGCAAATGATGTTGTACTTGATGTGTGTACTTGAGACAAAAGTGTATCTTTCCACTTTTGGGTAGAATGTCCTATAAAAATCAATTAAATCTACCTGGTCTATTGTGTCATTTAAAGCTTCTGCTTATTATTAATTTTATGTCTGGATGATCTCTCTATTGGTGTAAGTGGAGTGTTAGAGTCCCCCAGTATTATTGTGCTACTGTTGATTTCCCCTTTTATCACTGTTAGCATTTGCCTTATGTATTGAGGTGTTCCTATGTTGGGTGTGTAAATATTTATAATTGTTATGTTTTCTTCTAGGATTGATACTTATATCATTATGTAGTGTCCTTCCTTATCTCTTGTAACAGTCTTTAAAGTCTATTTTATCTGGTATGGGTATTGCTACTCCAGCTTTCTTTTGATTTCCATTTGCATGGAATATCTTCTTCCATCCTCTCACTTTCAGTCTGTATGTGTCCCTAGGTCTGAAGTGGGTATCTTGTAGACAGTATATATAAGGGTCTTGTTTTTCTATCTATTCAGCCAGTCTGTGTCTTTTGGTTGGAACATTTAATCTACTTACATTCAAGGTGGTTATTGATATATATGTTCCTATTACCATTTTCTTAATTGATTTGGGTTTGTTTTTGTGTGTCTTTTCCTTCTGTTGTGTTTCCTGCTTAGAAAAATTCCTTTAGCATTTGTTGTAAAGCTGGTTTGGTGGTGCTGAATTTGCGTAGCTTTTGCTTGTCTGTAAAGCTTTTGATTTCTCCATTGAATCTGAATGAGATCCTTGTTGGGTAGAGTAATCTTGGTTGTAGGTTTTTCATTTCATCACTTTAAATATATCCTGCTACTCCCTTCTGGCCTGTAGAGTTTCTGCTGAGAAATCATCTGATAACCTATCGGGATTCCCTTGTATGTTATTTGTTGATTTTCCCTTGCTGCTTTTAATATTTTTTCTTTAAATTTAATTTTTGTTAGTTTGATTAATATGTGTCTTGGTGTGTTTCTACCAGGGTTTATCCTGTATGAGAGTCTCTGCACTTCCTGCACTTGAATGGCTGTTTCCTTTCCCGTGTTAGGGAAGTTTTCAAGTATAATTTCTTCAAATACTTTCTCAGACCCTTTCTTTTTCTCTTCTTATTCTGGGACCCCTATAATTCGAATGTTGATGTGTTTAATGTTGTCCCAGAGGTCTCTGAGACTGTCCTCAATTGTTTTCATTCTTTTTCCTATATTGTGCTCCGCGGCAGTTATTTCCACCATTTTATCTTCCAGCTCACTTATCTGTTCTTCTGCCTCAGTTATTCTGCTATTGATTCCTTCTAGAGTGTTTTGGATCATCTATACTATCATTACTCTGAATTCTTTTTCAGGTAGGTTGCCTATTTCCT